CTGGTCTGATCAAGTCAAATGATTGGATTGTCAAAAGGTTGTATTGATATACAGTAGACATATTTGATACAACCACTTGAAGTGCACCAGTAGACTTTATTTTCTGGAAACCATGAAAAACGAACACTAGGAATGCATTTAATTACATTATGCGCACACTGCGTCATAAGATCAAGAACCTCACGTCGTGACATCGGACCCTGCCTGAGCCATGGGTTAGGGTGGTGATTCATTAGTCCGGTCACTCGGATGGCTAGTGTTCAATTCCCACTCGGATATAATCTGTAAAGCCAATTTCTGCTGTCTCTCGTGGATATATTGCTGAGATATGTCTTAAAAGCGATTTAAAACCATACACACCTACCCAACATTAGACGGTTAATTGCATTGAGGAAGATGATGAAAATTTTTAACGTAATTCCATCTCTGGCAGTGTTGAGGCATCAGATGGCCCAGTAATCAAATACCGACATCTGACCATGGGTTGAAATCCTTGATTCGCCCAGCTCATCTGACTGTGCCCGCGGGTTTTTAACTTTTTACATGGGGATAAACATATCAAATGTAATATCTCTCATTTGAAGCTTTCACTTTGCCCAAATCTGACAAATAACTGCTAAATGTTATATTTTGCTCTAATGCCCAAACCAAAGGCTCACAAATTCGAACCCGGGTGAACACAATCTACCTTCATCGACCCTTTCAGAAAGGAAGGAGGGGCGGTGGGGTAGCCTAGTGGTTAAAGCGTTCGCTCGTCACGCCGAAGGCCCGGGTTCGATTCCCCACATGGGTACAATTTGTGAAGCCCATTTCCGGTGTTCCCCGCCGTGAGTGAGTGAGTTTAGTTTTACGCCGCTTTGAGCAATATCACGGCGGGTTACACCAGAAATGGACTTAATACATTGTACCCATGTGGATAATCGAACCCGGGTCTTCGGCGTGACGAGCCAACGCTTTAACCACTAGGCTATCCACCGCTCTGCACTTAAAGACAAGGCTTACAACTACACGTACAGAATAAGGTCAACCATGTTCGATTCTACTTATATTGACTTTTATGTCCTGGAAATAATATGTGAAAGTCGATAACTTTCCACATTCACTGACCATATATTCTTGGTCCTCAGAGTGTTTTCTTGTTGACTATTCCAGTGATAACCATCTGCCTATTGCAAAGATGGCAAATTGATTTTCCAAGGATATACATTTGACTATTCAAAAGATGACGATTTGATGTTTCCAATGATAAACATTTAACTATTCCAATGATAACCGTATCGCTATTCCAAAGATGACAGACCGCCTCCGTGGTGTAGTGGTTAGAGCGTCCGCCCGGGGAGCGGAAAGTCGCGGGTTCGATCCCTGACCGCGTCATTCAAAAAGACGTTAAAATATGGTACTTGTTGGTCCCTGCCTGGCATTAATGCTCGGCATTAATGGGTACAAAGTTTATGTTCATGATATATTAGTCATCAGGACTGGCAACATGTTATACTTTTCTGGCCTGGATAGGAAAATCTGAAAAATGACGCAGTATAATTGTTCGTAGGTAATGAAGCAATCATCTGTGAGATTTCAACCAATTCCCAACACTTGTTGGTCCCTGCCTGGCGCTCGGCATCATGCTTCACTCGGAGTCAGCATGGTGTCTGAGTGGGGTATTCATGCTTCTCAGTGGCATGGTAGCACTATAAAAAACCAGCTTAAGTCTGGACTAGTACAAGCAGCCGCACATACACATACACACGCATGCACGTCGTCATATGAGCGAAATATTCTCAAGCACGACGTAAAACCCAATTTCACCTCACCAAAGATGACAGATTGTCCCCGCCGTGATATTGCTGGAGTATTGCTCAAAACGGCGTAAAACCATACTCAGCCAGTCAAAAAGGAATGGCGATAGCTAGGCTGTTCTGTGCAATTTATCAAACCGGACTTGTCAACATTTCCTTCGCATCGTACATGACGCGAGACCCCTTCGGAAAGCTAAATCTCAAACGTGTCCTTATATACTAAAGAAATTATATTAAAAAGAAGTGATGGCCATGAGTCGAAGATATTTTAGATATCAACTTCTTTATTTGTTAAACACTGAGCTTCGGAGTGAATTCTTAACCCTTCTTCAGGTGAATAATACAGTGGAAATTGAAACGCACACGCACGCACACACACACACACTCAAGCACTGAAGCAAAGAAAACAATGGATATTGACCGAAGACCAGAAAGTGGATTTGATTATACCCAAAAGAAGCCCTAATGTCGTTATATGATTCCAGTTAACCTGTCACAGACATGACATAATCTAATGAAAAGGGTGTATTTTACCTTAGAATAGAATATAAAGAAACGAACTACTTGAAGTTATCATTTTGGCAGAGAGCTCTTGATTATAACCAGTACAGAGAACTGTCGAGGGTGGTGTGCACCTTCAGTCTGATTTTCTATAACAGACATTATAAGAACACACCTATTTGATTTAACCCTGTCGAGTTCAACACACATAGAGATACATGTATACTACCCATCAAAAGTTTCGACTCACCTTAAGCACTCACTATATTTATGTTATGCATATATATATGGTTACATCGAAGATGACTTTCTCCATTAACTTGGGGAACCAACTGCAAACCTTATGCAGATGAATTGCATGAGGATCATGCATCACATATTGCTGAAATGCATGTGCAAATATCGTGCATGTGAACAGCTGTGTTTGGTGTAAAGCTTTGTTTAGAGTTTTCCAATTTTCACTGAGTTTCATCATTTATTGAACCTATTACAATAACTGTTTCAACGTTACGAATTTGTTGTACAATACATCAGTTCATATGTAAACAGTACCTTTAAACAGTATGGAATATTTTGCAAAATCTAGTTCAGAACAGTTGACTGAAGTAAGTGGCTACATTTACACAAGTGAGTCTAATATGTTTTTATGGGTAATATAGATTGAGCGAGAGAGAGAGTTGTATACATGTATTGAGCTACACAGGGCCTGATCGTCTAAGGAGCGGCAATTTAGTGTGCAGAGTTGCGTCTCTAAGGCGAGCTTGAAATCATGGTCTCTTCGTTTGTCCACACCAAACCTGTATCCGAGCGTCGCACCAACGTTGCAGTTCCATGTCTTCGGATTCTCGTCTCAAGTGACGCCGACACTAGGAGATACAAGTGAAATCTCGATAACAGCTACCTTGTAACTCACTCAGTTGCTGCCAGTGTTCCTGCACACCCAACCCTGTTCCAGCATTTGTCGCTGAGACCTCTGTTATTTGAGCTAGGAAAATATCAAAGCCTTGACTCCACAGATAAACCGGCATGTCGGAACAGCAATTACCTTAACGAGTGGTGAAGATATATTGTCCTTTATATAGAGGGCGACAATATATCCATAGGCGGATCGGGGGGGTGGGGGTGGTGGGTGCATAGACAAAGATGAATCAAATAGACAATCAATGAATCAAAGATACATAGACAGAACAATGAATCAAATATACATAGAACAATGAATCAAAGATACATAGACAGAACAATGAATCAAAGATACATAGAACAATGAATCAAAGATACATAGAACAATGAATCAAAGATACATAGACAGAACAATGAATCAAAGATACATAGACAGAACAATGAATCAAAGATACATAGACAGAACAATGAATCAAAGATACATAGAACAATGAATCAAAGACACATAGAAACAATGAATCAAAGATACATAGACAGAACAATGAATCAAAGATACATAGACAGAACAATGAATCAAAGATACATATAGGGCAGAACAATGAGTCAAAGATACATAGGCAGAACAATGAATCAAAGATACATAGGCAGAACAAAAGAATGAATCAAAGATACATAGACAGAACAATGAATCAAAGATACATAGACAGAACAATGAATCAAAGATACATAGACAGAACAATGAATCAAAGATACATAGACAGAACAATGAATCAAAGATACATAGGCAGAACAATGAATCAAAGATACATAGGCAGAACAATGAATCAAAGAACAATGAATCAAAGATACATAGACAGAACAATGAATCAAAGATACCTAGACAGAACAATGAATCAAATATGCCCCAAACACATTTTCCACATTTTGTCATCAGCTAGGTTCCATTTTGTGCTGACTGGAGAATTGGGAAATATTTTACGTGCGCTTTCCACACTAGAAATAGCAGTATCGGAGGGTTGGCAATAGAGAAACAATCAACAGACTTCATCTGTAGCATTGCCGCTTGAGTGCACATGTCAACAATCTCAGTGAAGACATTTTCCGCAAATTTTACAGTTTCAAGACTTCAAATTTTATTATAGTCAAGGTTTAAAAGTCAACTGCACGAACACCTGCACAACCCGTCAGTCAGACAAACTATGACAATAAACAATATTCACTCACTGCATTTAGTGACGTCAGCATCTTAGGATGACGTCATCATCAGTTATTTGTGATAATGTTCTGACGTGTCAAGTATCTAACGATCTTGACCACATCGGAAAGATAGGTGTGTATAAACCGACCATCGTGAATATTATTGTATTTCCTTTGAAGATATACAAATATCCACGTTGTCCGTGTATTACACATCAATAACGCAAATTATGTGGGTCAGAGTAAGACTAACATCTAGTCTCTGAAATGAACATATTTTACAGAAAAAATGTTCATAAAAAAATCATAAAATATAATGAAAATGAGACCAGATACTTTCTTCTTTTTCAGAAACTGTGGGAATCTATACTTTTATGGGCTTTCTTGAATATACAGTATTTGTTTCAAGGTCTGTATGGCAGACTAGGTCAGAGTGTGATGTGTAAGATGTGAAACACACTGATAGCGCAACCTGTTATCAAACTGACTGTTGACAAACCTGTCACTATTCATGGATCAAACCGGAAATAGAGGTGACAGATTGCCGGTGCACATTTTTAAATCCTATCTCAGCTGAGGCTATTTCTGTCTCTGACAATCCTGACATCATACACAAAGCCGCGTGTTTACATTATAAGGTGTACGTCCGGATGTTTACAATATTCCTTGGTGTCGTAATTTAGCGCATTTACGGTTGCACGCGCGGCGTCAATCCGTTGCCCGGACAACATATCCTCGCACGTGCAGTTCGATTCTTTTGTTTCATCATACCAAAGGAACAGCAGACGACATTTTCAGATTGTGTTCAGGTAAATCCAGCTTACTTTTTTCAATTGATGTGTGGGGTTGAATATTTGAGAAATCGCTCCCATGGGCGCTCTCGGCACAGCGTGTCTCCCCTGTACCCCATACTGGTTGTAATGTCACTGAAAGGACGCTGGGTGGCTTTAATTAATTTTGTCCTCACTTTCTTTTGTGGTGCGTTTGTTCATGCATATAGCCATTCGTTTACATGATCAATTTTAAGGCTCGATCTTTGTAAGTGAAGGAGAGCACAAGACTGTGAGCATGTCTGAGAATTTGATATTAATTCGTCAAAACTCCCCGAGCAATTAAAAAATATAATATTGTCAGTGGGCCCCAAACCTCTTATCCGGTCTTTCAGCTGTGTTAGCCTACTTGTTTATCATTAGATCAGTCAAAATGTATACAAGTCAGATATATTGCAAACAGGAAAGCACGAGATTTTTCTTTACAAAACAATTAATTTCCTCTTTCTCTTTCGAGTTTCTCACTTGGCTGTAGTGAATCATGTTTTTATTAATATATTTAGGAAGGTTCTTTCTAAATTCATTATTAAGTTTGGATAAAGGAAATAAGGATAATTCTTTTAGTTCTTTACAACAACACGGACAGTGTTTGCCACACATACTAATATTTGTTGGTTTAACGCCGCCTTATCAATATTCCAGCTGTTTGACGGCGTCTTGTAAATGATCGATTATGGACCAGGCAATCGAGTGATTGACATTATAAGCATGGATGAACGCATTTATGATATGATGTAACACGTCCGCCAGATGATGGATGATGGATGATGAACGGGTGGTGGATTACTGAACAGCTGACCCAATCATCAATTGCGTAGACCTATGCTCATGATGTCAATCACTGGATTGTCTGGTCCAGACTCGATTGTTTACAGACCGCCGTCATATAAATGGAAAATTGCCGAGTGCAGCGTTAAAGAACAAAGAAAGAAACCTCCATGTAAAAGATTTTAACTTTCCTCTCGAAAAGGAGATTGATACTTAGTCCACATTAAACAATATTCTTTTTTCTCTTCACTTTTTCCAAAAAATATATGGGTCGGGCGAGCGGATTTTGTTTTTCCTTTTTATTTTTATTTATGCCCCAAACCCCATAATGTCTGTGGAAATTTACGCATTTTCTCCGATAGAAAATCAAAACTTATAAGTGTGAAAAGAGTTATTATGTGTCAGCCAAATGAACGAGCATGACCACCCAATCTCGTTAGTCGCCTCTTACGACAAGAATGGGTTGCTGAAAACCAATTCTAAACCGAATCTTCATGGGTCGAGACCCATCTTCAGTAACCCATGCTTGTCGTAAGAGGCGACTAACCGGATCGGGTGGTCAGTCTCACTGACTTGGTTGACACATGTCATCGGTTCCCAATTGCGCAGATCGATGCTCATGCTGTTGATCACTGGATTGTCTGGTCCAGACTCGATTATTTACAGACCGCCGCCATATAGCTGGAATATTGCTGAGTGCGGCGTAAAACTAAACTCACTCACTCACTCATGGGTCGAGGCTGAACTGAATCACCAGACGGGGAAGAGGTTATTTATTTTCACAATGTTTTGGGTTATGTTTATATTTTGTTTGTTGTATCGTTTGCTTCGTATACAGTACGCAGATATTAATTACCCATGTCACACACAAGTAGGTTATTTCCGGACAGTCAAGGCTCCGAGTCGGTGAGGACTCTCTCCTTGGTGTACCTGGGCCCAGCGTAGTGAAGTACATGTAGTACTGGACGGCGGTATGGCTGACGAGTGTCAACCTGTTTGTAAAGGTATGCACATACGAGCAACGAAAACATCGAACACTTATTCACTTCAATAACACTTCAGTTTGACCATACATTGCTCATCAACATAATAAATAGTATATATTAACAGCTACCATGCAATATAAATAGATGTAAGTTCACAAGCATTGTAGGTATTTGGTAATATCACAAACTATTTGTTTGCTAGCTAGGTGGTGATGTAGCCTAGGCGTTAAAAAAACGGGTTCAATTTCCAACACGTCGTAAAATCCACTAATATGTTCGTATGTCACCAATTTAATGTCAATAAAGTTTGAAAAGAACTGTAAAGTTATATATTGATTTCTTCTACATTTCTTTTAGATATCTCCAATTCACCTTCAGACGATATCGATGCACTCCGCCTGGCCCCCGGGATATGGGTGGTCATAGTGTGTCTGTCTGTGTGTCTGCTATTGATGGTGCTCGTGCTCGCGTGCTCAAAGAACGTCTGCTCAGTCACAGAACTGAAGACCTGTCCCAGCAGACGACACAAACGGTATATAGGTGGTGACAGGACATGTACAAGCGATGGCGCGGATTTTGTGTGACATTTTCAAAGATATATTTACTACACAACAGATTCGAATATTACGATATTTGGTCGACTGTCACAGTCGGTATTCTGTCTCCATCCCGTAATGACGAGTTGCTGAAAATGATTTTGTAAAGTTTAGCAACAGGTTCAGTGTTTTACAATTTCATTTAAAGAAAAGGTGGCGCCTGCATCATTTGTGCTGCACATGGAACATCGTGAGCTGCATATTCTCCACAAACTGACGTTGAAGATGCTGAACTTCTGATATGGAACATGATGAATGGATGCACAGAGAAACTCGGTAGAATGTTTCAAGTGAGGGTGAGCCACTGAGCTCCGACATAGCGAGAGAGTGAAGTGATGTCTGAATTTATTTCACAACGGATGGAAAGGTCTAGTGTCTCGGTGGGATATACAGCGTGAATATGTCAATACATACATGGCGACGGCGACATCATCGACTTCCTCGACAGCCCGTCCCCAGCTGGACATGACTGACCGTGTGTAGCCCCTGAGACTGTCGACATCTTGGAGAGCTGATCTACTGTATCCAGTCTCACAGTCCCTGAATTTTACTTTTTCCCTTCCGTCCAGCCTAATGTTACAGATCTAAATGAAACATATTTATATTTTCCATAGGTTCTGAATCTCCCATCTCGAAGGGTATTCTTTCAATTCCTTGTCAGAAATTTTGCTGCTGTATTGTTCATTGTCGATATCATTGAAATCAGACCTGTACGGTATTTTGTCTGAAGATCTGAAGATACTCCATGGAAGGTGCGTCATGTGGACCTTGTAACTTCCAGCCTTCTAAGACCTCAGTGGTAGCCTTGTGGTTAAAGCGTTCGCTCGTCACGCCGAAGACCCGGGTTCGATTCCACAAATGGGTACAATGTGTGAAGCCCATTCCTGGTGTCCCCCGTCGTGATGTTGCTGGAATATTGCTAAATGCGGCGTAAAACCATACTCACTCACTAAGACCTCGGTACGACTGAGTGAAGCTTTCCGAGCAACATGATTTTTGTATCTGGACATCTGTATTGTATCTCAAAACACATCACCTCACCACTGTGTGGCGCTGCCTATCTCGCCAGTGAGACGTGGTGGGGAACGCAGAGATCACTTTTTTAAAAACACCCCTAAATTCAATCATGATGTGCTTACTTTCGTCGCCTTCCCATTATATAGACGTGAACTTTCTGTGACGAACAGATCTTGACAATACCAACAACCTACAAACATTCAATTGCTATGTATTGCTTGTGTGTAATCTCAGAATATAAGAAAGGTCCAAAGAATTGTGGAGATAGAAGATTTTATTTCAAATGGAATGTGTTCTGCCTACAGAGCAAACAGTTCAGTTACAATAATCAACATCACAATATTTCATGTTATATATATTAAAGTAGTGCACTGTGCTGCAACAAGGCCACAACAATGGATTTACCTGCTTATATGCATCCTCACAAGAAGTTGCTGGTTTTAGTTGTCCGTAGTCGTAATGTTTGATATAGTCGATGGGATGCCTTGGAAATAGTCATACGGTTATCACTGGAATAGTCAAATGTATATCCTTGGAATCATCAATTCGTCATCTTTTGAATAGTTAAATGCATATCTTTGGAAAAAGTCCATTTGTCATCTTTGGAATAGTCAAATGTTTATCCTTGGAAACATCAATTCGTCATCTTTTAAATAGTTAAATGCATATCTTTGGAAACAGTTAGTTTGCCATCTCTTGAACTAGTCATACGGTTATCAGTGGAATAGTCAAATCTTTATCCTTGGAAACATCAATTCGTCATCTTTTGAATAGTTAATTGTATATCCTTGGAAAATCAATTTGCCATCTTTGCAATAGGCATATGGCTAATCGTTGGAATAGTCAACGAGAAAAACACTCTGAGGACCACAGAGTCAATATAAGCCGCGCATGGTTGCCGATTCTGTATACATGGCTGACTCTCATTCTGTACGCCTGTAGTTGTAAGCGTCGTCTTTAACTGCGAAGCGGTGGGAAGCCTAGTGGTTAAAGCGTTGGCTCGTCACGCCTGAATATTGCTACCCGGCGTAAAACCGATTACCGTCAGTTCATGAGTACAATGTGTGAAGCCGCCGTGATATTGATGTAACATTGATAAAAGCGGCGTAAAACGTTATAGACACTTTCCAATAGACGTTCTATTCCATTGTGTAATTTATGAAAAAGAAACCAGCGATTACATTGCGATATTACATTGCCCTGCAGTAAATCCTCAATATACTCTACCCACAACACACCGTGGTGTAGTGGTTAGAGCGTCCGCCCGGAGAGCGGAAGGCCGCGGGTTCGATCCCCAACCGCGTCATACCAAAAGACGTTAAAATATGGTACTTGTTGATCCCCGCCTGGCGCTCGGCATTAATGGGTACAACAAGGACTGGTCGGCTCGGAGTCAGTATAATGTGTCTGAGTGGGGTATTCATGCTTCACTGCGGCATGGTATCTCAGTGGGCTAGCACTATAAAACCAGCTTCAAGTCTGGGCTAGTACAAGCAGCCGCGCATACACATACACATGCACGTCGTCATATGAGCGAAATATTCTCAAGCACGACGTAAAACCCAATTTCACCTCACCTACCCACAGAACAACCCCGTTAATTGCAATGAATCAAGGAGGTTGCCAAATAACATGGACGGTACAGGGACAGACAAAATGGGACGATACACACAGTACGATACGGTGAGAGGAGGCCACATATACAGATGGGCCAGACAGACACATACAGGTGTGTCCGTTAGACTCGCCATTGTTTATATTGCCATCGTGCCGAAAACAAGTCGGTTTGCAGCGTTGCTGAAAATGCCGCATGCGGTGAAATGTACTGTGTATATACTTCTTATTGGTGTAGTTTGGTATCGATAAGCCGAAACCTGAGGACTACAACTCCTCGATGTTTACGTACTGAATAAAGATTGATTAATGTATCGGTGAATCGTCCCATCTTGGATCTACAGTACATTTCAGGATATTAATTACTAAAACACGAAACATGCATAATATACATGCTATATATACACTATACTATTCGTCACTCAGTCCAAATATAACTTATGCTAAATCACTTCATTGTCTGGTCCCGACAATTATGTGCAGGCCGCCACCACACACCTGGAGTATCATATAGTACTAACAAACACGGACATAGTTACGTCTTACTTACCTCACAACGACAGAGCAGCCCAGAGCTCCAGATAAGATTTAGCTCATGTGGGTACTGTACCCACTGTATTTTTTTTTGGAGTGGGTATTATGAATGTTGAGTGGGTATTTCATTTTCCGTTACCCACTACTTTCAAACATGTGCGTATTTCAGTCATTTTACTCACCTAAGTTCGTATACAGTACGCAGATATTAATTACCCATGTCACACACAAGTAGGTTATTTCCGGACAGTCAAGGCTCCGAGTCGGTGAGGACTCTCTCCTTGGTGTACCTGGGCCCAGCGTAGTGGTGTACATGTAGTACTGGACGGAGGTATGGCTGACGAGTGTCAACCTGTTTGTAAAGGTATGCACATACGAGCAACGAAAACATCGAACACTTATTCACTTCAATAACACTTCAGTTTGACCATACATTGCTCATCAACATAATAAATAGTATATATTAACAGCTACCATGCAATATAAATAGATGTAAGTTCACAAGCATTGTAGGTATTTGGTAATATCACAAACTATTTGTTTGCTAGCTAGGTGGTGATGTAGCCTAGGCGTTAAAAAAACGGGTTCAACACGTCGTAAAATCCACTAATATGTTCGTATGTCACCAATTTAATGTCAATAAATTTTGAAAAGAACTGTAAAGTTATATATTGATTTCTTCTACATTTCTTTTAGATATCTCCAATTCACCTTCAGACGATATCGATGCACTCCGCCTGGCCCCCGGGATATGGGTGGTCATAGTGTGTCTGTCTGTGTGTCTGCTATTGATGGTGCTCGTGCTCGCGTGCTCAAAGAACGTCTGCTCAGTCACAGAACTGAAGACCTGTCCAAGCAGACGACACAAACGGTATATAGGTGGTGACAGGACATGTACAAGCGATGGCGCGGATTTTGTGTGACATTTTCAAAGATATATTTACTACACAACAGATTCGAATATTACGATATTTGGTCGACTGTCACAGTCGGTATTCTGTCTCCATCCCGTAATGACGAGTTGCTGAAAATGATTTTGTAAAGTTTAGCAACAGGTTCAGTGTTTTACAATTTCATTTAAAGAAAAGGTGGCGCCTGCATCATTTGTGCTGCACATGGAACATCGTGAGCTGCATATTCTCCACAAACTGACGTTGAAGATGCTGAACTTCTGATATGGAACATGATGAATGGATGCACAGAGAAACTCGGTAGAATGTTTCAAGTGAGGGTGAGCCACTGAGCTCCGACATAGCGAGAGTGAAGTGATGTCTGAATTTATTTCACAACGGATGGAAAGGTCTAGTGTCTCGGTGGGATATACAGCGTGAATATGTCAATACATACATGGCGACGGCGACATCATCGACTTCCTCGACAGCCCGTCCCCAGCTGGACATGACTGACCGTGTGTAGCCCCTGAGACTGTCGACATCTTGGAGAGCTGATCTACTGTATCCAGTCTCACAGTCCCTGAATTTTACTTTTTCCCTTCCGTCCAGCCTAATGTTACAGATCTAAATGAAACATATTTATATTTTCCATAGGTTCTGAATCTCCCATCTCGAAGGGTATTCTTTCAATTCCTTGTCAGAAATTTTGCTGCTGTATTGTTCATTGTCGATATCATTGAAATCAGACCTGTACGGTATTTTGTCTGAAGATCTGAAGATACTCCATGGAAGGTGCGTCATGTGGACCTTGTAACTTCCAGCCTTCTAAGACCTCAGTGGTAGCCTTGTGGTTAAAGCGTTCGCTCGTCACGCCGAAGACCCGGGTTCGATTCCACAAATGGGTACAATGTGTGAAGCCCATTCCTGGTGTCCCCCGTCGTGATGTTGCTGGAATATTGCTAAATGCGGCGTAAAACCATACTCACTCACTAAGACCTCGGTACGACTGAGTGAAGCTTTCCGAGCAACATGATTTTTGTATCTGGACATCTGTATTGTATCTCAAAACACATCACCTCACCACTGTGTGGCGCTGCCTATCTCGCCAGTGAGACGTGGTGGGGAACGCAGAGATCACTTTTTTTAAGAAACACCCCCTAAATTCAATCATGATGTGCTTACTTTCGTCGCCTTCCCATTATATAGACGTGAACTTTCTGTGACGAACAGATCTTGACAATACCAACAACCTACAAACATTCAATTGCTATGTATTGCTTGTGTGTAATCTCAGAATATAAGAAAGGTCCAAAGAATTGTGGAGATAGAAGATTTTATTTCAAATGGAATGTGTTCTGCCTACAGAGCAAACAGTTCAGTTACAATAATCAACATCACAATATTTCATGTTATATATATTAAAGTAGTGCACTGTGCTGCAACAAGGCCACAACAATGGATTTACCTGCTTATATGCATCCTCACAAGAAGTTGCTGGTTTTAGTTGTCCTTAGTCGTTATGTTTGATATAGTCGATGGGATGCCTTGGCAATAGTCATACGGCTATCACTGGAATAGTCAAATGTATATCCTTGGAAACATCAATTCGTCATGTTTTGAATAGTTAAATGCATATCTTTGGAAACAGTTCATTTGTCATCTTTGGAATAGTCAAATGTTTATCCTTGGAAACATCAATTCGTCATCTTTTAAATAGTTAAATGCATATCTTTGGAAACAGTTAGTTTGCCATCTTTGAACTAGTCATACGGTTATCAGTGGAATAGTCAAATCTTTATCCTTGGAAACATCAATTCGTCATCTTTTGAATAGTTAATTGTATATCCTTGGGAAAATCAATTTGCCATCTTTGCAATAGGCATATGGCAATCGTTGGAATAGTCAACGAGAAAACACTCTGAGGACCACAGAGTCAATATAAGTAGAGCCGAGTACATGGCTGACCTCATTCTGTACGTGTAGTTGTAAGCCTCGTCTTTAACTGCAGTGCGGTGGGGTAGCCTAGTGGTTAAAGCGTTGGCTCGTCACGCCGAAGACCCGGTTCGATTACCTTCATGAGTACAATGTGTGAAGCCGCCGTGATATTGATGTAACATTGATAAAAGCGGCGTAAAACGTTATAGACACTTTCCAATAAACATTCTATTCCATTGTGTAATTTATGAAAAAGAAACCAGCGATTACATTGCGATATTACATTGCCCTGCAGTAAATCCTCAATATACTCTACCCACAACACACCGTGGTGTAGTGGTTAGAGCGTCCGCCCGGGAGAGCGGAAGGCCGCGGGTTCGATCCCCAACCGCGTCATACCAAAAGACGTTAAAATATGGTACTTGTTGATCCCTGCCTGGCGCTCGGCATTAATGGGTACAACAAGGACTGGTCGGCTCGGAGTCAGTATAATGTGTCTGAGTGGGGTATTCATGCTTCACTGCGGCATGGTATCTCAGTGGGCTAGCACTATAAAACCAGCTTAAGTCTGGGCTAGTACAAGCAGCCGCGCATACACATACACACGCATGCACGTCGTCATATGAGCGAAATATTCTCAAGCACGACGTAAAACCCAATTTCACCTCACCTACCCACAGAACAACCCCGTTAATTGCAATGAATCAAGGAGGTTGTACTGCAAATAACATGGACGGTACAGTACTGACAGACAAAATGGGACGATACACACAGTACGATACGTATCATGGTACAGAAGGAGGCCACATATACAGATGGGCCAGACAGACACATACAGGTGTGTCCGTTAGACTCGCCATTGTTTATATTGCCATCGTGCCGAAAACAAGTCGGTTTGCAGCGTTGCTGAAAATGCCGCATGCGGTGAAATGTACTGTGTATATACTTCTTATTGGTGTAGTTTGGTATCGATAAGCCGAAACCTGAGGACTACAACTCCTCGATGTTTACGTACTGAATAAAGATTGATTAATGTATCGGTGAATCGTCCCATCTTGGATCTACAGTACATTTCAGGATATTAATTACTAAAACACGAAACATGCATAATATACATGCTATATATACACTATACTACTCGTCACTCAGTCCAAATATAACTTATGCTAAATCACTTCATTGTCTGGTCCCGACAATTATGTGCAGGCCGCCACCACACACCTGGAGTATCATATAGTACTAACAAACACGGACATAGTTACGTCTTACTTACCTCACAACGACAGAGCAGCCCAGAGCTCCAGATAAGATTTAGCTCATGTGGGTACTGTACCCACTGTATTTTTTTGGAGTGGGTATTATGAATGTTGAGTGGGTATTTCATTTTCCGTTACCCACTACTTTCAAACATGTGCGTATTTCAGTCATTTTACTCACCTAAGTATTATGTGACTGAGTAAGTTTACTAAGCAGGTATGTTCTGCCTTATGACTATGTCATACCTAATCAAAACCAACTTAAATGTAATGGAAATGAGTTCATAAAAAATCCCTCATCCTAAATGGACAGTACAGCACTTGTCCTATACTAACAGAACAACTTGATAGCAATCAATGTCTTTTTTCATTACGCAAGCGATTTTTATAAATATATTCCGTACGCATTTGTTTTAAACTTTTTGCGTATCTAACATTTTAAATGCGTAAATGGTACGCAACAATTATTTTTCAATGCGTAATTGGAAATTTTATATGCGTATTTTACCCGGATACGCAGCTTATCTGGGCCTCTGCTGAGCAATTGTCGCTTTACCCCACCGTCTGCATTATTCCCCCTTAAGTACATGTGCTGAAAGTAAGCCTTGGTCCGCTGTATGAGCATCGTCGAGTGAGTGGAGGAAGACAGTCAGGTTGTACATTGTAACCATCCAATCCACAACAACAATCCTTGGAACACCAGAATACCCACGCAGGTTGTCCTCGCGAATCCATCGGTTGTTTAGTACTAGGGAACTTAAGGATGTTCTATATGATGAGAACCTGTATAGAAACATGCTCATAATAAAGGAATGTGGTTTTGTAGCAATCACAAAATGCAGGAAATTTGAGCGACCCTACCGAGCCTGATACAGAGGTGGTGAATATCGGGCATGGCTACAATGGCAGGTTGTTCGAGACATACCGTGAACTACTTTTATAACGTTTATAACACACTTGTAACGAACTGGGATATTTGTCACAGCCACTACCTGTCTTGTTCAGTGTAACGAACTATTGATCTCTTCAGTTCGTTATAACCGGAGATCACTGTATTGCCGATTAAAACTGAGCGCTCATTCGTCTCATCACTCGCTGGTTTCACTCTCGTTATTGCCATGGTTACACAGCAAAGCGGACGTCCGGTGACTGATATCATGAGCATCGATCTACGCTATTGGGGTACGATGGCATGAATCAACCAAATAATCGAGCCTGACCACCCGATCCTACTCGCCTCTTACGACAGGCACGGGTTGCTGAAAACCAATTCTAACCCGGACCTTCACGTTTCGAGACTGAACTGTATATATACATACATATAACCTGATGTAAAGACCGGAACTTCACGGGTCACGTAGGTATCACGGAGTGATGGAAGAACGTAGCGTGTACAAAATCGCGAAGAATTAACGATTACTCCCTATGTATACAATAATCACTTTGTTCTTCTCGAAGTCCAGTTTTCTATATGGACCCACGGACTTCGAGATAACGACGTTGCGCTGACAATACTATCGTTCTTCTGAATATACAAACAAACGGCGAATACTTACGGTTGTGTCCTGTATTAGTTTCCAGAACACCTGTAGGTGGTACCCCCTCTGGAATGGTGTCTTACGGGTAGTTTGACATGCAGGGACGAACATCCACAGCAGCCCCACAATACCCGTTACACATATTCCGCAGGCCAGGCAGATAGCGATGATGGCTGGGGTGTTTAAGGGGACTGAAACATCATGTACCCGTTGTGTTTATATGTTTTTTATTATTTGGGTTCAGTTAATGATTATGAATCTGACCATTACAAACATGATATAATTACTTTATAAAGACGATCTGGATGTAGTGGTCTGGTCCACCCTCTCACAAAATATGGTTATTTATACAAGATTGCATGATCAACATCTACAAGTATGGAGAAAATATTGAAAACAGCTTAAAATGTACTAACATGTTTTTTTAAAACTGGTATGTATTTTTAACCATTTCTAAAATGGTGGATAATATATATACAATATCAATATGTCATTGTTTTTGGTTCACATCCTCGACGTCCAATGCTAAAAAAGCATATGGAACAAAATACAATTCACATACAGATTAGGTCGGTTTTGTGATACAAGGGAAACCGGTGAAGAGTTTCATTATATTTTATTCTCGCTAGGTTTTGTATTTGTATGCCATTACATCACCGTAAATATCCCAACCAAATGTGTCTTTTCGCTATCCACTAAAAGATAGGAATGCTGTAAAATTAGTAACTTTGCAAAAATACTATGCAAAATCTTGATATACATATACTGTATATTTGTTTTATAGCAAGTACACTCTGAATGCCATCTTAATTTGCACTTGTAATGTAAATGTACATGTTCTTATGCCGTGGACTACAGGCTGAACGTAATGATGTTCAGTTCAGTTAATTTCCCACGTGCAACACGGCTTTCTCGTAACTACATGTTTTCAACAGTTGCTTTCATAAACAAAGACGGCAATATGTACATATGTGAATCTCAATCGGTATTGTTTTGTTTGTTTCTTGTCTAACGCTGCACTCAGTAGTATTCCAGCTATATGGCAGTGTCAGTAAACATTCGAGTCTGGACCAATAACATGAGCATCGAGCTACGGAATTGGGATACACATGTCATCGTATCCCAAACAGATGATAATATCCCAGTTGCGATAGTGGTAGCGGGTTGAGAATCCCAGCGAATCCATGGGATGTTGTGAATAATTCCAAGTATATATTTTTAGAATTAGTGGGTCTGTTCCAATAGATAATTTATGCTTGCTATTTGACATATTACCTCCAGTCTTTGTCTTTGGGGGTGTCGTCGTGGTCGGTGCTGTTGTGGATGTCAGGCAGTATGTTGAGCAGGCTTGAGGTATGGCTTGGAACCCGACCCAGGGGCAGTGTTCATTACAGTATTTACATCGTGCAAGCGCCGTATCCAAGTACAGCCCATTCGCACACTTCCCAGTGGGGACTGCAAGTCAATGGTCAACGTGTCAAGGTAATCTATCTAAACTCATTTTCTGTCCATAGAATTGTAGTCTATTTTTTTTAATTTGGCGTGGACATTAGGCATATATTATAAAACTACAAAACAACTTCACAGTGAGTGAGTATGGTTTTAACAATATTCCAGTAATATCACGGAGATTGACATCAGATATGGGCTTCTCGCGTTGTGCCCATGAGAGGAATCGAACCCGGGTCTCTGTCGTGACGAGCGAACGCTTTAACGTTTAACAGGGTACCTCATCGCCCCTAATATAAAAAGCAGATCAACAATTTGGAGTGCCAAAACTTAAAGCTGTTGATTTCATCTTGTTACTGCTCAAATCACTGATAGACCACCAGTAGTAAAGCCGGTCATGTTGGGAGAAAGAGAAAGTAGGGAATACCACAATGACTAAACTAGATATAGCTGCGCAGTTCACACTTCGAACTTGTTTTTCATTCAATCTGTGATATATGTTTAGAAATGAAACAGTCACACATGTTTTCCTGTACCTATTGAATCTTAATGCTTGACTTTACAATTCGACCTTAAGATCACATTTAACCTGGACTGGTTCCCTAGTTGGGAAGGGACCCGTGCTGTGTTTAAATGACCTTACTCGTAAGTCTAAGAAATAACTCTTACCGCCTTCCACACAGAGAGGCGTTGTGAAAATACGGAAATTACGTAAAAACACGTAATCCGCCCTGAAAGCTTCATTATGATCATGAGCCTCTTCCTGATATAGATAGTATTGCGTGTAATTCCCCAGGTAGTTGTGGTAAAATCGTCACGTCTATTTATAACTCGATTATTATATACCGGTAATGATTTGGCAACGTTCTATATATAGGTTTAGCGTCAATGGCCACATGCTCGTGTCTCCGAGATAGACCACGACACCCGTAAGAGCGGACGCTACATCTGTACCTGTGGTAAGCAGTATGCTTATTTGTTCTACAATATATTTTTGTTGTCAGTAGACTATCAAACATTAAATTATAAATTAATGAAAGAATAGAATCTATGTTCTTATGGTATTTTTATATTTTCCATATTGTAACCAGATTTTATAGTTAATGTATGCCTGAAATATCCAAACTTTATCTTCAAAACACAACGCGAAACAATTATATATGAATAATAATACCTTTCTATAAAGAATGATAAAATAGTCCAATACTGCTAAATAATATTTTCGAATATTTTTTTTTAAAAATTGATAATTGAAAATATTTTTATACATGTCGCGTTGTCGTTGAAGATGGTTTAACATGCCATGGACAGTGCACCAGAAAAGACACAAATATTGGTGCGGAACAAAGTTGGTGCCATCTTTGGTAACTATTTACATCATGGTAGTAAACCTGTGTGGGTTTCACAATGGGAAACCCTGATTTCCGAACTTTAACCAGCCCCAACATAGGTTGGTTGGTTTGTTGTTTAACGCGACCAGCTGAAGACCAACTCTAGATATATATTTAGTCGAGTAAAGAGACGGTTATGAATCAAATTTTAGCATGGTTTTTTATGTCTTTCAAATGGGTATTCACTGGTGACGTATTTCATACGTTTATCATATTTGTGTCTTGATCAATTTTGTTCGGTTTGACTCATAATAAGTGAGTGTGGTTTTACACCGCTTTTAGCAAAATTTCAGCAATATCACGGCGGGCGACACCAGAAATGGGCTTCACACATTGTACCCATTCAGCCTCATTGTGAGTTCTTAAATTATCTCGCTGTTGGGGGTAGAGGATGTAAAAGTTTCAACTCGGTCCAGTGATTTCAAAATGTCCTTTAATCTCAAGTTCCAAGCTTTCTTACTACACTTCTTCTAAATACAATCCACACAATGACAGAATAACAGTACCTAAACATTAATTTGACAGTGACTAGACAATGTCTAGACAATGAATGCACAGTGACTGGACAGTGGCTGGACAGGTTGAAAAACCGTATGTCCTCTAAGCCCACAACACACAATCCTATAACGCTCTCTTAGAAACTTAAAACATGTCTTACTTCTTCAGTATCTTAAAGCTCTCTGTCCCTTTCTCACACTCTTTCGTTCCACATGTGTCGCTTAAATTCTTGGTCGGCCACTTATCGTGGTTGATCAGGTCAGAACCCATAGGACCCCACAAAGACAATTAGTCTATGAGTCTTAGTTGCAGTGGTAGATCACAGCTGTCACCAGTCCTGGGAATGTAGCCTCGGACATCTGCTGGCAGCAGGGGCTGGCAGATTCTTATGTCTCGACTAATGTATATATATACTAAGCACATGCAGCCTCTCACACACAAACCCTAACAAAGTTACAAATATAATATTTTGCATGTACAACAAATGCCTAAAATTCGGCTCTAACACTCATAACGTAATGAATATATTTGTAATTTTACAAAATAAATCCATTTTTCAAGTAGGGGAGACCGGGGTCAATTGTAACACTTTTTACTTAACTTCTTGTAGTTCGATCCCAGACGACCGCTCACAAAGTTAATCGGTACTAACTAGTACATTGGCTTCTTGGCTTTAAACCTCAGTGTCGTTTCAAGTTCACTATCATGTCTTTACAAAGTTATTACGTATCAAATGCAATGACTACAAGTGTTACAATAGCTAAATCGCTATTATTGGTTTGTATTACAAGGGTGGTATGCACATCAAATGAAACACCGAGAACAAGTAGGGTTGGTCTAAGTTAACGCTCATCACGTACCGCACGTGCATTTGTTTCACTGTTCCATCTACTGCCCTTACCCCCTTGTAATACAAAACAATAATAGCGATTTGAATCTATGATTGTTTGTTAAACAACTTTTCCCCTAAGTTGAATAAAAATATGAGATTTAAATGTTCATTTGGCAAGGTAAACTTATGAGGATTCGCAATCTTAATTTCACTTAATTTGATTTTCTTTATTGTTTAAAGTGATATTCATCGGTACGTTTTCACTGCAAACAGACTATAGTTGATATTGCTGCTTGTGTCGGCCATGAACTAACGGCGGTGATTTCATTGGACTGACTGACTGATTTTGGTTTTACGCCGCTTTTAGCAATATTCCAAACAACAAATATGTCATGGTTAGAAATTTAACTTACATATACTTAAAGACGCTGGAAATAATACAAATATTTAGAAGGAAACTATTAATATAATAAGAACTAACTAGACACAATGAAGATTCCCTCAACCAACAATGTGGATTATAAGCATTTCGTTTAATTAATTGATAAAGCAATGTACATGGCAACATATTCCAAATTTTATTAAAGTGACGTTTGAAACACCGTAACCTCAACGTATCTATGGTGACATTTGAAACCCCGTACTAAACCGAGGAGCAGTAGAAATCTAAGTTGATTTTTATCACTTGTTTGATTTTGAATTGAAAACGTACTGTATTTGCGCTCAGTCAGGACTCACAGAATACGCCTTTCATTTTTTAATGGTGTTATCTTTTTAATCATGATTAATTTGTCTTAAAACATTTAAAAATGAAAAACATAATTTCACACAGTATGCAGCTGCTGGTGGGTATGTTTAACATCTTGTGCCCATTTTCGGCACAATTTACAACATTGCAAATTCATTGCTAACCATTGTCTTCAACGGTATCCAGTTTATGTTCTCAACATAACACAGATTACTTTTTGCAAATTCAAATTTAACAACAGTTAGTTTAATGTTAAATTCATAACAACCAAACGGTATACTATCGTTTGCCCATCAAAGGTGATAAATAAAATTGATAAATAAAGAGAACTTCTTTTTATTTAAATTGTTGTCGAACCAATTTTTCTTGAAATGCATCTAATCTTTATTGGATTTATATCGTGCTGACTTATTGCTGTTCAGACAACATTTCGATAGCAGAGGGATACGGTTACCTGCACTGAACGACCTGGTCCAAACATGGCGGGCGGTCATCAAAAATAGGAAAGCCACTATCGATGACTCCTTGGTCGCCATGTTGCTGTTTAGTGATCTGTTGATGAATGAGTATATATATGATAATATACTGTAGACGTTTTGTAGATCAACGCCTATAGTGATGGTGAATGCTCTGGCCAGAGTGTTGAAACGTGGATATTCTTTCTCGAACCTTCCATCTACTGTTTAACAAAGATGACTAAATATAGAACATCAGTCATACGGCCACATGTTGGGAAGTCCCTGTTACATGTACATGGCGGGTGACTGGATGAGTGATTGTTGTTACGCCGTAGTCGGCGATGTTGCAATTATAGCAGGCCGGCCCGTGACTGACTGGTTCCGGCCCGAAAGTCTGGTTTGTGTCAGAAGGGCTGCCCCGTACAGGACGTTCTGGCTTTCTGGCGGGATACTTCTTTATTGGCCTACATTATACTATCACGTAAGTCCGAGTTACAGGAGTCGAGCACATCGTCCACGATGACATGTATTGGTATTATCAGTGAGGTTTCAGAGTCCAGGAGATGGATGGCCACATGGCATTTTGATGAACATGAAACCAGGAATATGGATTAGTGTGTATGGTGTCTATCGGAAGTTGTCATTACGTGAGTGAGTGAGTGAGTTTAGTTTTACGCCGCTCTGTGCAATATTGTCATTAAGTAGTAGCCTAAAACAGTTGGTGTCCCTGCACAATATGACGGTGGTCCAGTCAGAGTATTTGTCCAAGACACATGGTCCACACAGGGTATAGCCCAGGACACATGGTCCACTCAGAGTATTTGTCAAGGACACATGGTCCACACAGGGTATAGCCCAGGACACATGGTCCAGTCAGAGTATTTGTCCAGGACACATGGTCCACACAGGGTATAGCCCAGGACACATGGTCCAGTCAGAGTATTTGTCCAGGACACATGGTCCACTCAGAGTATTTGTCCAGGACACATGGTCCACACAGGGTATAGCCCAGGACACATGGTCCAGTCATAGTATTTGTCCAAGACACATGGTCCAGTCAGAGTATTTGTCCAGGACACATGGTCCAGTCAGAGTATTTGTCCAGGACACATGGTCCACACAGGGTATAGCTCAGGACACATGGTCCAGTCAGAGTATTTGTCCAGGACACATGGTCCACACAGGGTATTTGCCCAGGACACATGGTCCAGTCAGAGTATTTGTCCAGGACACATGGTCCAAATAGGGTATAGGTCCAGGACACATGGTCCACATAGGGTATAGCTCAGGACACATGGTCCACACAGGGTATAGCTCAGGACACATGGTCCAGTCAGAGTATTTGTCCAGGACACATGGTCCAGTCAGAGTATTTGTCCAGGACACATGGTCCAGTCAGAGTATTTGTCCAAGACACATGGTCCAGTCAGAGTATTTGTCCAAGACACATGGTCCAGTCAGAGTATTTGTCCAGGACACATGGTCCAGTCATAGTATTTGTCCAGGACACATGGTCCACACAGGGTATAGCCTCAGGACACATGGTCCACACAGGGTATAGCCCAGAACACATGGTCCACACAGGGTATAGCCCAGGACACATGGTCCACACAGGGTATAGCCCAGGACACATGGTCCACACAGGGTATAGCCCAGGACACATGGTCCACACAGGGTATAGCCCAGGACACATGGTCCACACAGGGTATAGCCCAGGACACATGGTCCACACAGGGTATAGCCCAGGACACATGGTCCACACAGGGTATAGCCCAGGACACATGGTCCACACAGGGTATAGCCCAGGACACATGGTCCGCTCTGAGTATAGTGCAGGACACACTGTATAATCGGGTTGTAGGCCAGGACACAGGGTACAGT